ACTTTCTGACAATTTTTTACAAAATTTCAGAACAAAACTGTTCTGGTAGCTTCAGGAGTCAGAATAAGCCTTAGTCCCAAAAGTGTTAGGGGTCATAAAAAACATTTTGGTTCCATTATCTCAAGAAGTTAAATGAAAATTTATTAGTATATCTGTAGATACAGCAAGAGAGAAAGCGATAGGGTGTACCAATTGGTTTGTCGTTAACAAAGTCATAAATCGTTGAGAAAATTCAAAAGCAAGAGAGGATCAAAATCGGCTAGGGAGGGAAGGATAGATGTTAGACTAGCTAGAGAGTTAGTGAATAAATAAATAAATAAATAAGTAACTAAATATATAAGTGTGTGTGTGTGTGTATTTATGTATATGTGAATGTGTGTGTATATATATACACACACACAAATATTCTGGTCAGGAATTTCCTGACCAGAGCCCTGTTCGGCCACCTCATTTTGAGGTGGTTCCCAGTGGTATTTTTTGCTCAAATTTTTTGAGCATGTTCCTCATGAAGTGTAGATGATCTCCTCCAAATTTGAGCAAAAAATTCAATCAAGAAGGCAGTCAAATGATTTTTGGAAGATAACTGCGTTTTATCGAGGTGGTCGGACGGGGCTCCGGTCAGGAAATTCCTGACTGGAATACTTCTCTCTATCTCTCTCTCTCTCTATATATATACACACTCCCTTCCTCCGGGTTAAAAGTTTCCCGTCGCCTCTTTTGAAAGTCCCATGTAAATGTTCCCATTTGAGAATCACATATTAAAATTTGAACGGCCATAACATCATTATTATCTTCAATTACACCATTATATTATGTATCCACCCAAACTACTTCTCAAACTATACTTAAATTGTATTATTTAATTATTGTTTAAAAATGTAGACAATTTTTGAATGGGTACCTTTAAGTGGTAAGAAGGTAGTGTGTATGTATGTACATATACATACAGTTTATCAATGGCTCGTTATTGTTCCCTTAACAGTTTATCAACTGATTAAATATTATTTAATGAATAATTGTTTCTTATTGGTTCCACAAGCCTGTTTTTCATACTTATAAAGGGACCAAGAACCAAATCGTTATTAAGGAATATGAACCGAACCTGTAACAAATAATAAAACAAGTGCTGATACCATCTGGATTGGGTTATAATGATTCGGTTCAGTTCCCTGGTTCAATGTTCAGAAATCATAGGTCTAAACAGAACATTGAGTGATGAACTGTTCTGTTTAGCATCCTTATGTCATGGTTCATTTTCTACTTTAGCTTCATAATTTTCAAACAACTATGGTTAGGCCAAAGGTCTTAAATTGTTAATGATTATATTGTTTTCATGCTAAAAATACTGTAGTGAATTCACTGATATGCGAAATACTTTTGAATAATGACAGTACAAAAATGAGGAAAGAGTATCTAGTGCTCACTTGCGGCCCACCATCTTTGAGCAGTACGACTCCTAAAGGAAAGGGTGAAGATGGAGAGTGTTATTCCAGTGATGAAGCTGGTAGCAGTGAAGATGAAGAAAGCCAAACTGTAACTCCAAAATAGATCTACTATGTTTTATGGATAAGCTGAAACAAATTTATTTGTAGATGTGTCCAATATCAATTATACATAGACTAGGAAATAAAAAACATACGGAGTATGATTTAAAAAAACTCTCATATTTCATATTCCTTTTCATTTTACTAGGTAACCCAAACAAAGAAAACTAAGGATGTTTTTAATTGGACTTATTTTAGACAAGATCATACCAGACTTAACAGACCAGACCAGATCACGCTTTAACAAACCGGACCAGATCTCGACAGTTATAAAATACACAGACCAGTTCAAACCAGGCCAATTCAGACCAGAGTAGACCAAAAAATTTCAGTCCAAAATAAAAGCATCCTAATATTCCTTTGCATCATCATCCCTTTTCCAAACATAAACACACGATTACTGCTGTCTGCATGTGGCTTTTTAAATCTCTTATCTTGCCAGTTTTATTAACCCATTATTGTTTCTCATTCCATTTGTAGCAGGTTTGTGTATCGGATAGGCATAGACCTAGGAAAAAGCAAAAGTTGAATAAGAAAGGCAAAGGAAGAGGGTGGGTCTTGAAGAAGAAGGAACAGATGAGGAAGAAGGGAAATGAAGTTCCTCGAGACACAAAATACACAGCACGGAAAAGAAAGGACCGGTTTTGATGCCCTGGTAAAAGTGTAAGACGAGTAGGCATCTAATTCTTGTTCCATGTCATCACTTGTTTTTTAAAGATCTTCTTGCCCTTCTTTCTATTCTGAGTTTCAAGTGTATGTTTATACTTCTATATTGCTAAGCACGAATTTATGGTGGAAATAGGACGTGAGCTTATGGCTTGATTAACCTGGTTTCCCCTTTTTAAATAGGAAAATGCTGTGTAAGTTTCTAGAAACGTAGACTTCTTCAATTGATTAATGATGGCTTTTGATGAATTATTATTGTTGTTGTTACTGCTACCATTATTATTATTACTATTACCATTATCATTACCATTATTTGATAATGTGTACTTGGAATGCTTAAAATGAAGACTAATTTTTTGGGCTTCATTGATTTATGTTAATTAATGAAGATTGATATGGCCCATGGGTGTGTTAAAAACGCCACCCAACCCTAAAGGTTGCGGTTGGCAGGACGATCTCTTATTATTATTTTTGGAGGGCTGATTATGAACTACACTATATAGAAGGTGGAGAATGCTGCAGGTTTTGCCATGTGTCTTTGAGGTAGGTAAGGGTGGGGGCATGGTTCTTAGGTCTGAAACTAGGGATGGATTCGGGCCGGGTCGGGCCTGGGCCGGGCCTAGGCCCGGTCGGGCCGCCGGTTCAAGAAAAGTGGGCCCGGGACCGGCCCGAGGGTTGGACGGGTCCGGTTCGGGCCGGGCCACCCGCCCGGGTCACGGGTCGGGTCCGGTTCGGGCCGGGCCGGTTAATTTTCTTTTTTATAATTTATATTTTATAGTTTATAGTTTTATACGAGTATTAAAAACAAACTTCAATTGCATTTATTTGAAATGAAATAGGAACTACATTTGAAAATTAAAACAAACTTTAAGAGATAAACATTTTCAAAATTGTAATCAATCGGAACTTCCTGCTCCCGATCCTTTGACTTTGTCACATGACTTCATATGCTTGATTGTCATCCCGAATCCGCCTGAAGTCCCCATGATACATTTTTTTTCGCACCATTTGCAAATTGCGTACCACATCCCGGTCTTCGAGTCCTTCTGCTTATCAAAATTATATCGTATAATGGCATTTTGATTTTCCATCTTAACTTCTTGGAGAAGAGAATTAGAGAGTAGATATATAATATATTGGAGAATAAGAGAATTAGAGAGTAGAGAGTTAAGAATAGGATTTAGGAAGAATTGGAGAAGAGATATGAAAAAATGTTTAAGATTAGGAGTATTTATAGGTTTTTTTACCCCCCACCCCCCTACCAGCCGACCCCCGGACCCCCCCTTTACCCCACCCAACGGCTATATAGCCGTTTGGGTTGTCCCCAGCCCCCCCCAACGGCTAGTAGCCCAAGATTTTAATTTTTTTTATTATTTAAAACAGGACCGGACCCGGGCCCGACCCGACCGGGCCGGGTCACATTATTCCAGCACCGAGCCCGCCCCGCCCCTTCCCATCGGTTCGGGCCCGTACCCGGTCCCGGACCGCCCAACCGGGCCGGTCCCGGGCCCGCACAGTACCGGGCCGGGCTGGGTCACGGGCCGGGTGGCCCGAACCGAATCCATCCCTATCTGAAACGGATGAAATTGGGCACGGGAGCCAGATGATTGTATATAGAAGGTTTTGGTTCATCTATCAATCTGACCGGAAGTTGTGGTTGAAGATTTGCCAGTTCTGAGGACTGGGACTTACCTATCATATACTCCATATTACGAATATGGAAAGAAAAGTATTCATGTGTATAGGCCTCCAGGGGGTGTGAAAAGTGATGGAAAGGTGGCCGATATTATGCCTGCCCTTCCCTCAATCGTGTGCTGGTTGGATGGATTATACGACATTTAATTTGTTTTCTTTTTATCATTGCAAGCACGGGAGAAGCAAAGCAAAGCAGACCAAGGCAGTTGGACACCCTCTTTTTGGACATCCTTTTTTTAGCATTCTTTTTGAACCAAAGCAGGCTAGCATTCTTGATTCAAGCTAAGATGAGAGGTCTGTCTTTATTATACAATTCATCCAATTTCCAGCATATGATGATGAAACTCTTCAGTCTTCACTACCCTTTTGATCTTTTGGTCCTGTGTTGGCCATGCACTACGGTTGCACCTCTTGAGGCCACCACACAATGTGGTGGTGTCCACCTGACTAAGTGGCTAGCGCAGTAGAGAACTCGACGTTCACTACTATCACGAGGATGATGACCTTGGCTACTCAATGTCTCAACCTTGATCAATGAGATACAGATCAAATGGAACTTCCATACCAACGTATGGGGGATCGAAGCTGTTCCTCCGTGATGCCCAGCACCTGGGGGAACATTTTTCCGATTTGACGTGTATGATGACAATCGTGAGACCCAGCAGTATTGGGTGGAGTGCCGGTGGATGGTCACCAGTGAATTGATGGCACATTGACTGGGTTCAATGAGGCCATACTAGTGACATAGAACATATAACCACCGGATCATAAAATTTCAGTTCAAGTGAATACATTTTAAATGAACAATTTTTTTTATTTTGTAGTTGATTATCGATAAAAAAACAATGATTACCATCTTTGTATTTTATACAATGTTCGTGGAATGAATTCATCACGCTTGAACATAACGTAGTAATTCATATTTTTATATTTTAAAACTAGATCATTTCATTTTTCTAACTTTATTTTGTTATGTTTCTTATGTGATTTTCCGTTTTTGTTCTTATTTTTTGTAATTATATCATTTATATTTATGCCTTTATTCTCATTTTCTGATTTTTTATTTATTTTAAATTTCCAATTTTTTGTGTTTAATTGCTCTTGCTGCTCTAAATAAAGGTTGAAGATATACTTATTTTATAATTATTATATAGACCAGTAAGACCACGTATATATAAATATGTATTTAAGGATATTTTACATTTATTATTTAAATATCTATCCATACTGTTCTACATTAATTAATTGACAGAACGGCATTTCTTCCTAATTTGCCCATCTTTTCCAGTAAGCACCCTTATATTCCCGAGCTTAATCATCGACCCAGGAAAGTCCATGTAAAAAGCGCCCGGATCAGTACTGTATTGGTTAACCAGAGCAGCAGCTTGTGGATCCGTCATCAAAGCTTGATCCGACCCGAGAAGGGCCTTATTTCCCACAAGGTTGGTGAAATACGCGTTGTCGAAACCATAGGCGGTTTGATAATCCAAAGGAACGAGCTTCGGGTTTGATGCGTTCACGTTCGGGCAGCTGCTCTGCAAGCTGGACAGGAAGGCCGGGTCAAGTGACGGGTCTGGTTTTTTTGTGCCGTTATAGTTGAAGAGCCTTGCTTTGAAAGTGAAGCATTGAGCATATCCAATGGTGTGGGCTCCTGAGAAATTCGCACATAAAAATTGGGGGATTGATCAAATTTTGGGTCCCATTGGGTGTTTGGGAGCAACTTTGATGTTATCCAGGACACGTTTACTTCACAGGTTACTAAACGATGCTTATTAAAACTCGCGTTAATAAGCGACACATTAAATAAGCAATGTTGTAAGCTCATGTTTACTTCAAAAGATTTAAAACACCATTTAACATTAAAATGTCCAAAATAACCCTATATATATAGATACACAAACATTCATGAACACAAGTGTATAATATAATATGTAGGGTACGCATATCCCACACCCCTAACCCCTACCCTACATCCTCTACCCTACCCCCAATTCCACACCTTTGGCCCCTATCCCTACCCATACCATGACCTTACCCTCTACCCCTACTCCCCCATACCCATACCCCTATAGGGGGGTGGGGTCGGGATCGGGGTGGGGTCGAGGTAGGGGCAGGTGGTATGGGGTAAAGGGGTAGGGTAAGGATTATCGATGGGGTAAGGGGTTGGGTATGGTTGGGGTAGGGTGATAAGCGCCAGAAGGTAGGTGTGGGGGGATGGGGTCAGGGTGAGGTCAAGGTAGGGGCAGGTGGTAGGGGGTAAAGGGGTAAGGGTCGAGGTGGGGTCGAGGTAGGGGGTAAAGGCGTATGATCGGGGTAGGGTGGTAAGGGCTAGAGGTAGGGTAGGGGGTTGGGGGTAGGACGGGGTAGGGTCGGGTTAAGGTAGTGGTAGGGGTAAGGTAGGATGGGTGAGGGGTAAGGGTGGGTAGATGTAGGGTCTGGGGTCGGGTCGGGGTAGGGTCAAGGTAGGTATAAGTGGTAGGGGGTAAACGGGTAGGGTCAGGGTAGGGTAAAGGGGTATGCGCGTGGTGAGGGTGGGGGGTTGGGGTAAGGTAGGGATGTAGGTGAGGTCGGGGTAAGGTAGGGGTTGGGGTAGGTAGGGGCAGGGTTGGTAGTGGGGTAGTGGGTAGAGGGTTACCAATAGGGTAAGGGCAAGGGGTAAGAGTAATGGTAAATTCGGAAACTGAAAAGCTTGAAGTGCCGCTTAATTAATACATGGGGCGTGGTGGTATGCTTAGTAAGCGGCACTTTAAGCAACTCTTTCGGTTAGTAAGCACCTTTTAAGCAGTTTACGTGTTTACTTCACCTGTCTTACTAACCTAACTGTGACTTTAGAAGCGAAGTAAACGTCTCCCTAGTGTTAAAATAATCTTTACTCATATTCTTCCGGTCAAAAATTGTTAGTTGGACTTTTTTAACATCTTCAATAAATGAAAATTGTTGTACAGCTCTGACATTTTGAATTAGTGTTTTGAAATGTGTCATTTCCTACAAATTGCTATGGCCAAACAATTAATTTAGCAAACATCTATTTGCATCTCTTTAACTTATTTTGCTAGTTAAATTCGCTGACCAAATTCGTTATTAGCAATTCACCAACATAATTCATTATGCGCTAATCGCTAACAGCTAAACGCTAAAACGCCCTCATGTCTCAAACAATTTCAGGCGCCAGGAATTCAGTTAAAGGGATATGGAATAACCATAGTGAAATTAATACAAAGTGTGAAAAAGTCAAATACATGAATTGTGAGACTAATTTACATTGGACAAAGCTAGACTCCAGTCCACCCTAAATTTTATGAAATTTATTTTATTATTAATTTAAATTTCGCATAAAAATTTATATAATTTTTTTTGGCTTAATTATTTTGCACCTGAAAGAACGACCATATCTTTGGTATCAAGACCCTGGGCTAAAAATTTAGTCTTGATATCTTGGAAGCTCTCCAATGGCGAGGGTAAACTTTTAGTTCCTGCCTCACTGGCGCTTAATCCGTCTCGCCTCCCTAGTGGCGCGCTCCACATTTGTGATCCCCACTGTTTTAAAATATGACAAATGGAAAAAATTAAAGCTCTTAGTTACTCCTATTTTGATGGTGACAGAGGAATAGTGTAGCTAGATTACAAAGTTTTTACCATAAAAAAGAAAAATACTCCCTCCGTTCCGTAATGAACTTCACATTTTGATCCACACACATATTAAGGAAATAAATTTACTATGTGGTAAATTTTACTGTTTTGACACTGTTTGACACTGTTTTGCACTGTTTGGACACTGTTTGGCATTTTTTTGCACTGTTTGACATTGTTTTGATGTAGATTAACTTGCCATTTAAGGAAATGAGAACTTGTTTTGGGACATCTGAAAAAGGAAAGTGAGAAGTTCATTGCGGGACGGAGTGAGTATAACATTAACAAGACAAAAAGTACATTTTATATTTTCTTTTGTACTATCGTATATGATTCCATTTCATTATTTCTTTTTAGTGGACTATTTTAAGGAATTTAAGCCTTTTAAAGATGCTAGTATTTATTTTCATACAATGGTCGTACAATAATGATCGTAAAAAAAGAATGCACCTCATCACGGATGGTCTCTAGAATCGGCGGCAGAACAATTTGCTGAAAGAGTTGAGTTGAGCCATAATTAAAATCCCTTTGATAGAGTGAAGTTTGTACTTGATGGTGAATCCACTTTATTCAAGGGTGTTCAGGTAAACACCAACTTTTTGAAAATAAAATGCAAAAAATGAGTTGTTGAATCACTCAAATTTTCAGCTTATATGTCTTGTGATCCATTTTTAATGAAACAGTAAATTTTGATTTTACACACTAAGTTGTATAATAATCAAATATGTTTTAATTCTTATTTCATAATACAACTGTTGTAGTCAGAATTTGTAGATCAACCGAATTTGTAGAATTGATGAAATTTCTAACTTTTTTCATTACGTGTAGAATTGATGAAATAATTTACACATGTTGTCCTTTCTATATGGTATTTCTAACTTTGAACCTTGTTTCCTATTTTTGTTGCTAAAAGAGTTATATTTGTTGAACTATTGGATCCTTAAAATTCAGCAAAGGTATGTACTCCCTCCGTCCCTGTTTTATCTCCCATTTCGGCTGGGCACACTTATTAAGATAGTGGGTTTTGTGTAGTGGAGAGTTGTGCAGAGGAGAGAGAAATGTGTAAGAATGTGTAAGAATGATTGTGAACCACAAATTCTTTGCCAAAAAGGGAAGAAGAAGATAATATTGGGACGGACCGAAAAGGAAAATTTGAAGATAATTTAGGGACGGAGGGAGTATAATGTAACAGCAGGCACTAGCTAGCAGGTTCAGTTAAGAAACTAAGTATATGATGTAGTACCATGGAAACAGCATAAACAGCTGCAAGCGTTAAAATGTCAGCGCAGGAAACAGTGGAAGGGCAAGCTTTCTCCACATCTGCCTTAATGCTTTCAATGACCTCAAAACCTCTTAACGAATTGCGGTTTGGCGGGGCGTTCTTCTCTCCTCTCATCTTCGTCGTGTCATCTAGAAGCACAGACGCATCACAACCCTGCAATAGAGGGCCAAAATCCCGAAGGATCAATGCAGAATCTTTCAACTTCGAAAGATCAACTTGTTAAGAGAAGTAATACAAGACTTTGGACATGTAATAATGTCAAATTCTATATGTCATTAATATTTAGATTAGAATGAACATTGGAGTTTTAATTATCCATAAACTATGCTAACAGCACTATTAAAGCGCGGAAACCAAATTAGAAATCGGCAAAAATTTGATACTCAAAATCAAAGAACAAAATTTTAATGCAATTAAATGAGCAGCAAACTCGATCACGAAGTCAAGTAAACCAAATGGGGTGATTTATATATAACAAGATAGATTACATTAACGAAGCAATCGTGGAAATGGAGACGGAGAAGAGACGCAGCCATTCGGGGTTCCTGCGTGATGGCTGACCAAACACCTGAGCTGACTATCATATGCAAGTCAGGGCATGACTGATCATAAAACTGGTCATCAAGTTTTTGGCATTGAGCCAGTTGGGGAGGTGACAGAAGCAAGATGAGACAGATGAGTGTCGCTAGGATGGTAAAAACATTGTCACCACCCATAACTTATATGGGTTTTGATATTAGGAAATGAAAGAATTTACTTTAACTATGGAATTTAGGTTATTTAGAGAGTTATTATTGCAATGATCGGTCCTTTGGCAGCAATTTATACACAAAACAAAAATTGTGGAGACAAGTTTTTTTGGAGTGGGAGTGGCACTACCGCAATATTGCATGTATTTACTAATATACATATGAGAGTAATGGACTACTTAAAGTCATCCACTTAAACATTTCTATAGTTTTCACCCACCCCTGAGTTATGACTTTAGAGTGCTTGATTAATTTATTAAAAGTAATTGTCCTAAATACGACTAACACAAATAGGATCTTAAGTTTAAAATTCCCTAAATAGGATTAAAGATTACAATTATACCCTCCTATATAATTAAATGAAAACCCAGGCTCCCTATCTATCGATCAATCTTGCGGCTCCATCTTCACTACTCATCCATGCTACCACCATCGCCTCTACTATTAATGGGCATGGCACAAATGATAATTAATTACGATGATCGATAAATTAATTTGTGTCAGCCGCACAATTAAGTGCTCATCAAGTAGGACTAAATTACACATTTGTACGATATTAACATGTTTTTTACCCAGCACAAATAGTGTAATAGACTAAAGTTCCAAAAGTTTAGATTTTATATACTCCCTTTGATTTTGAACCTCTTGAATTTCAACTTTAGGGGGTGAAAGGTCATGACTTGACTAGCTTCATTTAGAGGAGGAAATCAATAAGCTAGTATCCACTCTAAATTACATTATCACAAGTAATGCCCACCCCATTAGGTAGAAAATCGTATAATTACAAACATGCCATTATTCCTTGGACCTTTTCAGAAGAATCGCATGTGCTTAGATGAATTGTTCCCTAGAATTTAATCAAGCTCTTTATGAAGTTGACCTTTAATCAGCAAGTAGACATTTTGTTAAATTGTTAATGTGTTCGTGCAGTGTTATATGTTAATATATGATGTGTTTCGATCAGTCATTATTACTCCACTATTATTTTGCGATCTTCAAGATAGGAAGAAATTGGGCTTCAATTCAAGTAAAAAGAAAACGAGTTCATTGGATTTACCCATAGTGACTTTGCAAGATGGATTGGAAGAGCACATCAGAATATCTATTCTGTCTCGGATCAAAACTTATTTCGCATGCAAAGTAATTATATACATCCTTGTCAAACTCGTTCCATAGGGGTTTCCAGGTGTACGTGCGTGCTACGAACAAGTTTTTGCAGGCTCCAATGAGAATGTCACTTGATATGAATAATGACATGATAATGACATTCTCTTATGAACATATATATAACATTTTCATATTGTCACCATGATAAATGTACTGCCACAAATGTGACATTTTTTTCAAATAACCATTAATTTTGACATTCTCATATTATAAAAGTGACATTTTGCTGAAATATTCGATCACTTTTTCTTAGTAGTTAGGCATTCTGAGAATTAAAATTAATCAAAATTGATAAATAAAATTCTCATGTTCTAAATGAATTCAAATTAATAAATAAAATTCAAATCCAAAAAATCAAAAGAAGAAGAGAGCAGAGGACAAAAATCCGGAGGATTAGAAGGAGGAGGAGGAGATTACCTATTTGGTCGTTGATGAGTTCGAGGCCACAATCGATGGCGGAGCTGCAGCCCATGGTAGGAAGCGATCGCGGCGTGCTCGGGAGAAATCGCACCAGCGATGAATTGCAGAAGGTAGAGACATATGAGTTTTATTACATTAGAAGTAAAAGTGTAATGTTTAGTCCCATTTAAGGAATGATACACTTAAAGTCCTGTTTGAGAATTTAGACAATGTTGTAATCCCATTTAAGGCAATTACTTAAATAGAAATAAACACATGGCTAAATTGTTGCAACACTATCGGAAGAATATATCATTGTTGATCAATTATGCAAAGTTGAATACTCCCCCCGATTCTGAAAGATCTTTACACTTTCCATTTTTGGTAGTACCAGAAAGATATTTACACTTCTTATTTGCCTTACAAATCTACACCAAACAGTGCCAAACAGTGCCAAACAGTGTCAAACTCGTTAATATTTGTGAAGTCAAAGTGTAAAGATCTTTCAGAACCGGAGGGAGTAGTAAGGAAGAAGAAAAGGTACAAAATAGCGGAAGAAAAGGTACGAGTTTGTGTGTACATGTGTGTATATATCTATGCTTAAAAAACCGGGTCACACGTCAATCCAAACTCCTGTGCGAGTTAGAGCCTTCGGCCAGGGGGCCGAAGGCACCCCCTGGTGCACATTGTGGGCTGCTTGGTACCCTGGGCGCTGTGATTTGGGCCTGTTGTGCTTTCTGGGCCTGTTGGGCCTTCATTGGAGTAGTAGGAGTCTGTGGGCCGGGGGTTCCCGGGCCATATACTCCATCAGGAGTCCCTCACTCCTTTTGCCGAAAGGTACTTGAGGGAAAAGGAGTAATTGTGTTTGTCCTCTGCTGTTGTTCCTGTCCGGAAAAGGAGTAATTGTGTTTCCCGAGGGGGTCCTCCAGTCCCCCACTCCTTGAGGCACTTGCAAAGTGGTGAAAAGGAGTAGAGTAACTATGTTGCCATTTTGGGCCGAAGGCTGACGATTTTCGTTTCATTTTGGGGGGATGCCTTGTTAAAAACCTCAATAGGAAAAACCCTGTGGGAAAAAATCCTAATGAGGGAAAAAGAGTGCACTGAATTCCCCCAACGATGAATTGAAAACGTGAAGCCCTGGTTCGAAATGGAGTATAATGCTGACGCCGAAGGCTATCCTTGTTCTGAGGGCTCATGTGTTGATTAGCCGGAGGCATGCTGTTGATTTCCTGGGAGGTGCCGAAGGGGAGTCCCTCAATCTGGGGATCGAGGGCATCATGAATGTGAGTAGCAGTTGAAGTGTTACCGAGGTGTCCCCTGTTTGTTGTTCAGTTGGGGAGGAGGGTATCCGAGGGCTCCAGTAACCTGTGTGCCGTAGGCTGTCCGTCAATGAGGCGCATTCCCCGGGGGCTACCCGGCCCTCAAAGTGCTGAGGGGGGATCCCCGAGGGGTGGCCTGTTATGAAGTCGTGGGCTTCTGAAGGAGTGAGCCCGAAGGCATTTGTTATGTAGTGTGTGGGGCACAAACCGGGAGCGTCTCTGGGTAAGTGTACCCGGGGGCTCTTGTTGATGAAGTGGAGTGAAGTAAAAAGCCCGGGGGCTAGTTTCTTGGTTGATGAAGGAGTGATCTGTCAAGTGTAGCCGGGAGCTCCCAGAATATAGCCGTTGGAAATATAGCCGTTGGAATATCTAACGTCAGAATATAGCCGTTGGGGGGGGGGGGGGGGGGGTTGCCACGTGGTGTGTGCTCGTTGGCTGCCCGTGGGCGGGCGTCACCGATTGGGCGAAACCACGGTTTGTAATGATGGCAGTCCAACCGGAGGCCCGGTTTCCAGGCCCAAGCCCGGATCCCAGCGCCTATAAATACCCCATGGCCGGCTTCACTTCCCATTGTGCGATATCATTGTAGCGAAGCTCTGCCCAAATTCCTAGAGAGAGAAACAGCCGCCTTCGATCTAACTCCCGTTACAAGGTCAGTTCTTTACTTGCCCTCCACCCTTGTCACCTAGTTGTACTTAGCGGCCTTAGGACTTACACTTAGGAATCCTAGCTTAGAGCACTTAGCATATTTGAGCCCTCGAACTAGCACGGACGATGTCTTCGCAAAGCGATTCTCAAGACATCTCGGGGGCGCCTTCGATGGAGGAGGAAATCATCTCGGACGTGGAGTCCACAAGCGAACAGCCCTCGGCAGGACAAGATGTTGTCGTCGCGATGGAGTTGCAGAAAGCCCTCGTTGCTGAGGCGGAAGCCGAGGGTTTCGAACAAGAGTGTGAAGACGAAGACCTGGCCCTCGCCTGGCAGGTAGCTGAGGAAGAGGCGCAGAAAGAGGGGGCGAGGGTCACCATCGCTGTTCTCCCCCCTCGAGGCACTGGTGAGGCCAGCACCTCTCGGCCGCTGAACGCGGTTCCCATCCGTGTGGCCCCCGGAAAAAAGAAGGCGAAGGTTGCTGCATCCAAGAAGAAGGGAAGCGTCGCCGACCAAGGGAAGCCCCTCGATATGCCCGAGGCGTATTCCTACTTGAATACCGCCGCCTTAGAGATAAGGTCGAAAGCTGATGCGGCAGATCTCTATGTCACTCAGTTACATGTGGGCCCCTCGGCCATCGTGGTGGCACCGGGTCCCGATGACGTTTTCTCCCGGGCTCCCGAAGGCTGCATTGCGGTGCACATCCTCTCCGTATCGATGGGGCTCCGGTTCCCCCTACACCCCTTCCTTCGGGAGTACCTCCGGTTCGTGGGTTTGGTCCCCCGCCAACTGACCCCGAACAGCCACTCCTATATCACGGGCTTCCTCCATCTCTGCAAATCCCGGGGGGTAACGCCTAGCTTGGACCTCTTCTTCCAAAGTTTTAATCTGTGCCGGGGGGCACGCGAATGCCGAGGGCTTCGCAAACTTGCAGCAGGTGGCCCTGTTCAAGCTATTTACTGAGGCGCCCTCCTCAAACAAGGGGTGGAAGGACCGGTGGTGTTTTATCAAGTTAGCCGAGAGCCGCTTCCCGAGGGAGCTGCGTGACCGGTTCAGGCGCCATGAAAAGAGGAGGAGCGCCGCCCTCGAGAAAGATGGCAGGATCCTGGCAAAGATCCCGGAGGGCCGGGACAAGAACGTAGCCATCAAGGAGTGCACTCAAGAGGAGGACCTCTACACCCTCGGGTTCCGGCGGTATCGCTTCCTGGGGGAAACGGATGAAAGATTCCCGACATTTGAGGGAGCCTCCGGAGGTAGCATAGAGCACCCTTATTTTCGCATTTTAGCACATAGTTTGTAGTTTTTTTTTTACTTTCACGCCATCTGTTAATTATCCGTCGGCCTAACCCCATATTGTGTTGCAGGTATACCGGTCAATATGATGAACGTCAGAGGGCTTGCTGACCTCAAGAAGAAGAAGTCTTCCAAGGTCCCGAAGGGGACGGACGCTGGCGTCCCTAAACCCGCCGATGACTTCTTTAAGAAGCCGGAGGGGCCGTCGGCGGCCCCAAATACTGATGCTGCTGCTG